ATAAAAAAATCAAAACGACGGTGGGGGTCGGTGACGCGGTGGGCAAGTGACGTAACCGGTGTTGTGGCTTAAGCACCATCTATCGCGACAAGCCTACTAGCAAGGTGTACCTAATAAAGTGGCCGGTATAGTGTAAAGAGCTGTAATATGGTTTCAGTGTCATATGCTTGTGTGCTTGTAGGTAAAATTCAGGACTCCGAGATGCTGCTGCTTGAGCGAGCTACACTACATGGGAAGTTAGAGGAACATGACAAGGCCTTGCACATTCTAGTGCACCAGCTCAAAGACTCGGCTGCAGCTGAGGAATACTGCTCTTGGTCCTCTGCGTCTCATGACCAGTCCTACCGTCAGAACCTTTTCCACCAACTCTTGAGTGTTTACTTGGAAACGGATGTACCGGGAGGGGCACAAACAGTAGCTGCCGTTGACTTGCTTAACCGGCACGCTGAAGTTTTTGATGCATTGCGTGTGTTAAAGCTGCTCCCAGAAGTGTGGTCTCTGCCGTTACTCCGTCCTTTCCTGTGCGGGGCGCTGAGGGCCAGTGTGCATGCACGGTGCACTTCCCAGATTGCAGTGGGGCTGGCCAGAACACAAAACCTTCAGCTTCAGCATGACAGGGTGAGTTCTAATAAATTAGGATTTTATCAAAATCAAAATAGTTTGCAAGACACAAAGTAAAAAAAAGATATAAGGGGGATAAAACTGTTCAGATATCATAATAAAGGGGGTGGGAATAAACTACCGTCAGAACCTTTTCCACCAACTCTTGAGTGTTTACTTGGAAACGGATGTACCGGGAGGGGCACAAACAGTAGCTGCCGTTGACTTGCTTAACCGGCACGCTGAAGTTTTTGATGCATTGCGTGTGTTAAAGCTGCTCCCAGAAGTGTGGTCTCTGCCGTTACTCCGTCCTTTCCTGTGCGGGGCGCTGAGGGCCAGTGTGCATGCACGGTGCACTTCCCAGATTGCAGTGGGGCTGGCCAGAACACAAAACCTTCAGCTTCAGCATGACAGGGTGAGTTCTAATAAATTAGGATTTTATCAAAATCAAAATAGTTTGCAAGACACAAAGTAAAAAAAAAATATAAGGGGGATACAACTGTTCAGATATCATAATAAAGGGGGTGGGGAATAAAAGAATGAAATTCTTAAAAAGAAAACCTAATTGAGTAGTTTGGCACAATATTGTATTATTATTTCTTAGAGGTTTCTAAACAAAAACTACTTGACTGTTTATTAATATTTGGAAAAACGTTTTTTTCCTGCAAAATTTAGTCATATGAGTGTTGAGGTCAACAAGGACAGATAACTTGAGTTTTATGACAAGGCAAGGTTAGTTCAGATTGTAAAAAAATAAAATAAAATAAAATGTCATGCAGTGCAACTCCCCAAAAATTCATAAAAATTAATAATTCATTAAATTTGTTAAAACAAAACACCATATTTAAATATTTTTAAAACACTTTTTTGGAAACAATTTGATGTGCATGCTCCTGTCTTAAAGGTAAATTAAATTTTTCTTAGTATTCACTAACATTCAAAAGTTTGGGGTCAGTAAGGTTTTTTTTTTATTAATGCTTTAAAAAAAAAAAATTAAAATGAAGTATATTATGCCTACAAAGACTGAATTTATTTGATCAAGAATAAACATTAATTTTGTAAAATATATTTACAATTTAAAGTCATTGTTTTCCATTTTATTATTTTAAAAGGTAGTTTTAAAATGTAATAGAAAGCACAAAAGAACAGCATTTATTTGAAATAGAAAACATTTGATCTTTTCTGTCACTGTTGATCAATTTAATGCATTCTTGCTGAATAAAAGTATTATTATTATTATATGACCCCAAACTTTTGAATGTTTGTGTATAATTTTTAAATGTTTTTTTCAAATCCAAAATAATCCAACAATGAAACCAATTATAACTCCGCATGTGTTTTAATCTAGATTTTTTTTTTTAAGTATTCCATTCTTTTATATTTGAACACTCTTTGAATAAATGTAATTGACCCACTAAACACTGCATTCTGTGTTGTACAGCTAAAGTATCGAGGCGGCCCAATATTAGTGTCTGAAAAGAAAGGATGCCAGCTGTGCCACAATACCTTTAGCGAGCCAGACTGCGCCTGCTTGCCCGGCGGAACGCCTGTTCACATTCACTGTGTCGCCAAGAAAGCCCTGAACTTACCAGTAGAGCACCAACACGAAAATGCCCACCGCAGCAACCACACATGAAGCTGATCAGTACCATGGGGCAGTCGACACATGCTGGCGTCACACCTGTACCGCGCACACGGGGAGAAAGCTGAGTGCATAGAGCACCAGTTCAGAGCCCACGCCAGCGCTCTTGGTGCGACCAGGACCTGCTTTCTCTGTGTGTGAGGAGTCAGTCAGCAAATGAGTGTGTGGATGTCTGAAATACTATTTATTCCATAATCCCTCTGTGTGTACACACAACACTGACAATGAATATGAGTATATTTTAATGTCAAACAAAACTCTAAAGAAAATCTGACATTGTCTTTTGGTTGGTCTTTTTAGCATTGCCTTATGATGACTGGTCCAGTGGCTGTCTTTAAATGGATGGTGTTCATAATAACTATTGTTTGCAAGCTGTTTGGGGTCAAAATACTAGTGTCTTGACTGTCTGTTCTCTGTGAGCAGAATTATCAAAAATTAGTTTGTGGTCGATGTTCTCAGAGAGTGACAGGTTATATATAGCCTTAAGTGATTAAATCGCAATTCATTTAATATAAGGGAGAAATGCTCAAAAAAGACAATGTTTTCATAATTTCATTATGAATATGGTTTGTGGTCATCATAGCCATTTTAAACCATTTAATAGAGATAAAAAGGGAAGAGTTTCCATGTTCATTTATAGTCCGATCTGGAAAAAACTTCAAATTTACATCAAAGTGTTATGTAAGATTCTACAATGAAAGTTTATGAATAATAAGCACAACCCAAGAAAGATTTTCATGTGTGTGTGTCTCTCTCTCCCTCATTTCCCCGTCGAAAGTTGATTTGGCTTGATATTTCCCTTTGAAGTCAAGTTTAAGTGATATTTAGTAAAATTGTAGCTCTATCAAACAAACACAGCACAGCCTGAGTCCATTGGTTTGTGTACATGTTATAACTAAATGCTAAAATGCATATATTACATCCAAACTGTTCGTTTCTCATATGCATGTGGTGATATGGGCAGGGCATGTTTTAAGAATGCTAAGCTGAGATTTTAATGCTCAAAAAATGTTTTAACATGATCAATTATTTGTGATTTTTAGGGAAGCATGGTAACAAATAGCTGCGGAAGGTTTTGCCTGAGAATAATCTTTAACCTCATATTTGAATAAGTATTTGAAAAATACTTTGTCTGTGAAAGTGAAAATAGTGGGATTTTTAAAGGTAGAATAAGTGAAGGGCGGGGGGGGGAGCACAGATTAAACACTGCCTACTTAATATAAATACGTAAAATAATATCGGCTACGATGAGGGAAAGGCAGGATGACTATTTGCCTTGAGATGTTTTTACAGAAACGGTTTATACTGGTCACTGCTACAAGGATGATGGTTAATTCTATTCAAAAAATTGTTCCACAGTTAAATACATAAATTACTTTGGGTATCGTACACAATATCTTGGTTTGTGAATCCGACATATGCCTGTGTAGTAAAGTTCCATTCGTCATATGTGCAACCAAATCGTTCCTTATCTAAAGAGAGATTGAACATTTTTCAGCTTGAGCAATTATAAATGGAAACCTTCTACGTTGCTACATCTCTTTATATCCTCTTAAAGTATTTTATACATATAAATATACATAGATGCTGGTGTGTACATACTGTATTATTAACGGTTTGTTGCTTTGTAAATCAATGCCAGTGTGGGTGGAATGTACAGAATGTAAAGACGTCCATTTTAATAAACAAGACTATGCCTACATAAATGGAGCACACTGTTTGGGATATACTTCATTCTAATAGAAACGTTGAAGAGCCAACTATCCGGGCCTCTTTCATAAGTTTTCACGTGTTTATGAGTCCAAAAATGTCTGAATATTTTATGTGACTACATGACAACAGTGTTCTGCTGTATTTTCATCCATGATCACACATTTCTCTCAGTTCTTTTGACATTGTCTTCTCTCAAACAAATACAACACTGAGAGCCATACTTTGCAATTAAAGAACGCAATTTCAAATGCCCAAAGGTCATGACTGCAGAATGATGCAGTTTTTCAAGCTTGCTGCTTACTGTTGTCATGGTTACAGATGAGGGCAGTAGTCACCTTTCTTCATATTTGCACACTAGCATGTGATTTGTCCTCCAGTTCACTGCTCTAAAACGCAGAACCTTGTCCAAGATATTTGCCAGGTAATATAATGGAGGACAAAAGTTTTTAATTATGTGCCCGATATTTGAAATTGAGTTTAGCGCTTCTGCAGACAGTGTAGTGACCTGTAGCTGTCATGTATCTAATTTTCTCTCAAAGATGAGTGTGTTTAAATGTGTAGGTAATATATTTTTCGTACACTGTGTGCAGCTATTTATAATGTGATAACAGCACATAATGCAATCAAATATAGTTTCAAAAGACTGACAGTCCGATACAACTAAAAGTATAAAGTATTACATTTATAACATTTGTGCTGCATAACTGTAACAGTGGTATGTACTAAAGATAACAGTATATGTTTTTCTATAATATAAATAATTTTTATTTATATTTTACATTTTGTATTACATTGTATTATACTGCATTATATACACAATTATATAGTAGTCACCATTGTGCACTATGCAAATTTCTGAGGTGAGATATTTACATTTAGTCATTTAGCACAGTGGTTCCCAACCCTGGTCCTGGAGGCACCCCAACATGAATTAATAATTTCAACAACATAATTTGATAAAGTGAATTACTTTCAAAAACAGATTATTACCCTCTTGTGGTATTTAAAAGCATTACAATATAACCAATGTCACCATATTAATGAAACCATATTAATTATTAATGATTAATTATAATTAATTAATTAATAATAATTAATTATTAACCATATTAATGAAACAATAAACTAAAAATATTCACATATGAAAAACAAAACTTTTATTTAAAGATGTTTATATTAACCTTTTCAATACAGCTTTACTATACACAACAGTTAAATCTCAGAAAAAGAAAGATCTCAGCTCACAGATTTCCAATGCCATCAACCAATAGAGTCTGAATTGTGTGAATTTTAACTGATGCAAGCTGGTGTGATGCAGTAGGGACGGTTACTGGGTATGGTTGTCTGCGGAATATTCCAATAATCCAGTGAGAGAGAGAAGTTGTGTCCTCTCTCAGGGTTCCTGTGCTGTATTGATCATTTCCTGTTCAGCGCTTTTTCCGAGTGTACTTCTTCCACGCTCCCTCCTGTCATGGTTTCTTCCTCTCCCTGATCCTGGGGTCAGCGGTCAGCAGGCCAGCTGTTTGGGTAATCAGAGAAAACAGATGATGACAGATGAACAGCATCTGTGACATGCTGTTCTACCACAGAAAAGCCAAATAAATTAAAAAAGAATCAAACATCACAATATTGGATCTGTGCATTGAAGTGCAGTCTAATATGCCTGCCAATGTTGTTAAACTCACATATTACCAAGAAAAATAGGGGCAAATAAACACTCACTATTGGTGGTAAATAAAGAAAAAAGTAACATTAATTTGAAGGAGCAATTTGGGTAAATTGGTGTAAACCCAAATCATACATTTTTTTGAATGAACAAACAATTCCAAAATTAATTATTAATTACTAAAATTACTATTAATTACTGAAATAATAACATGCGTTCTGCCCAATATCTGCCAATTTCTACACTTTATCAACTTTTTTTTTCTTCTTATGAGGTCACAGCCACTGCAGTAGGATGGTGAATTTCATTTTATAGTGTTCAAAATGATTTTCTGTGGTATTCAACATTAAGTACACATTAAATAACCCGGAATATTCTTTTAACTATTTCATAAAATAATAACAATACATTATTCATGTCAATATCTAAAGTGCAAATTTTACACAATTAATGGTTCCCTTTCGAGAGGGTCTCTCGACGTTGCAGACAGCGTAAGCAGACGCTTTAGGGAAGCACCTTTCTCCTCAAATACTGAAGCTCGAGCATGCAAAAAGGGGGCAGGAATGCATCCAATATAAGTGGCGCTGAGCAGCATTTCATCAGAATCTTTCTCCATTATAAATGCTTAAAGGGTTAGTTCACCCAAAAATGAAAATTAGCCCATGAATTACTCAACCTCAAGTCATCCTAGGTGTATATGACTTTCTTCTTTCAGACGAATCCAGTCGGAGTTATATTGACTTTGATCTTCCAAGCTGTTTAATGCCACTCAGCAAGTGTTGCAGTGCATCAGTCCAAAGAAGTGAAATGAAAGCGCATCCATCCATAATAAAAAGTGCCTCACACGGCTCCGGGGGGGTGAACAAAGGCCTTCTGTAGCGAATCGATGCGTTTTTGTAAGAAAAATATTCATATTCAAAAGGTAACACCGGCGCATGCGCAGCGCTGAACTCATACGTCATCAGCCCGGACCTGCTTCCATGTACAACTGTTGGTGCAAGCTACATTAAAGTGATTACAATGTTTTGAATATGGATATTTTTCTTACAAAAACACATCGATTCGCTACAGGAGGCCTTTGTTCACCCCCCGGAGCCATGTGAGGGAGTTTTACTA